TATATAGGAAATATAAGAAGGATAATTTTATAAAGTAAATTTTTTTTTCTGTAACAGAAGCTTAGCACTTTTGTTCTATTCAACGTATTTTGAATCAATTTGGATGAATAACTGTAAACTTTATAGCGTTCTGAAGGATAGTTGTTGCTAATCTATTTGTATATATATGAAGGAAACAACACAAAAAAAAACACACATGAAGAAAACACAAACACTTAACACTTTTACCACAGCAAAAGAAAAGCAGCCGAAACTGGTTGGTGTTATTTCACTATTGTCACTACAAAATTCAAATTTGTTTTCGAAAGCAGATCGCTCCGGTATGTAAATGTTTCTAGTCCTTTAAAAAATTCATGAAAAGAAAAAACTAGATTAGGCAGTAAACAATGTCGAACTTACCCGCAGTTTGTAAAGATTAGAGTTGCGAAGTCCAAAACGATCCAAAAATTGATCTGTGGAGAGTGGATGGTTCAAAACTAACTCAAAAATTTTGGATTTTTCGTCCTTTGATGTAACTGAAACGATTGGAAAATTAGAATGTTTTGATGCGAAAGAAGCGAAATAGTCGAGAAATTTTGTCCACGGATTTTTAGTTGAAAAATTATAGTCTTAGACAAATTTTAATGGATTTGAAACATCATAATTAGTTAGCAAACTTCTAATATTGCTGCCAGAGTTTACCAAAAAAATAAATAAATAAATAAGTAAATAAAAAAATTGTCCACAAGTTTGCTGTATACAATATAAGAATTATTCAAAGCCAACGTTGTTGCTAACCAGCGCCAGAACTTTTATTATCGAAACAATCATAGAAAGGGTAGAGAATCTACAGGGAGGTGCACATCCATTGCAAGGCTCAAAATCTTCGCTCTTCTGAACACAACTACTTTCATGCGTTGAAAGTTTTGAGACGATAGAATAACGTATAATAGCTGTGACTATTATACGTTAAAATAGCTGTGACTAGGTTGGAAACTCCCCCTGCAAAACAGCCAACCCTGACGTCTTTTTTCGAGAATTTGATCTCACTTTTATTAAATTGCTTGTAACACTGTGAGGGTACTAGTAGCATTCTTTCAATACGCTACTTCTGATTCGAGTTATAACCTTTTAAACAGACCCTTATAAAACGAATCTAATTTTCCTTTAGCCCTAACAGTTTGCTTCATCGCATTTGTCGGATCTATCTTAATCCTCTCCACATAATTCGACTCTATTTCAGCTACAGGATACCTGAATGTAGCAAACTCAATTTTACGACGTACCTCTCGAAATAAAATGAGGACATTTGTAAGGAGAAACATCTACACTTTTTTTGGCTGTCAGTTTTCTGCTAACACTCTTCACAGCATACGGCACAATATCTCAAGCATAACTAATCAAACTTTTGAAAAGAACGGCAGTTGTGTTGTTTAACTGTAAGAACGCACGCGGTAACTTAACTAAAGAAGAGCGACTTAAGTCATGCAGGGACTGACAGTATTTGAAAAAAGAATAGAATAAAGTAAATAAGAAAAGAACTGTAAGAAAGAATATATACAACTGCTAGAATGGTTGCAGAACTTTTGAAATGAGCTCAAGTAATCACTTGGCACTCCATTCTACTCAGCTTATTTGCTTACTTTAGATACCTTCTGACGTCATAATCAAAACTGCCCTGAATTTCACACTCCGTAACTACTGAGTTTGTGTCCATTGCTTTTTTGTAGTTCCACTTCATGCTTATGGTTCTCGCGACAGTACCAATATTTTTGCAGTCTAATTCAAAAAAAAAACTATCTTTCATAATTTTCTATTGAAAAGCAGCTAAGAAGTACCCTTGAAAATGAAGTACATGACTTTTCAAGTAAACCTAGAGGCACCTCGCTTTGAGCAGAATATTCGAAATTGCAGGTTTTCGGAAGTAACTTTCGTTTGATGGAAAATATGAACAACTGCAACTTTTCAGATGTAGCAGCTCTTCTCCTGATAGTTCAGAAATGTTAGCTCATCGATTATACGAGTTGAAAGTTGGAGACCGCAGTTTGTGCAGAGTCTTGAGCATTGACTAAAAAAGTTAAAATTTGACGTAAAATAGTCTGAACGTTAATTTTTTCAAATCTCTTCAAGTTAACAAGCATTTTACATATTCTTTCGCCACGGTGTATTAAAAGAAATCGACAGTTTTGTCCTTAGTGATTGAGGAGAAGCAATAAGATGGAAGGATACAACGCCACAATTTATAAGAAGCAAGAACTGAAGGCTAAGAATAAAATAAATATTAATTACAGGGATATGTTTTACTTCGGGCCATTTCGCGTAAAGTCGATTACAATTCAGAAAAGTTGGCCAAAAATTTTGTTTTTTTCCTAGTTTTTCTATTTGACAAAAAATTTTTTTTACTCAAAGTTCTCTAATTAATTCCGCAAAGAAAGGTTTTTGCGGTTTTTTCAGTCTTGCTTACAGGTTTCCCCTCCTAAAAAAGTGGAAAAAAGGACGATAACGAGAACAGTGTTTAAGCTAGAAGTCGGTCGCTTACATTGCTAGCAAGAAAACTGTGAAATAAAGATAAATTAGAAAAGAAAAACCTTGCTTATTAACCATTTGAAATTCTCACATTTTTTTTGAGATGATAAAAAAAAGGAAGAAATCAGTTACGGTAAAGAGATGAGGCAAAAACTAAAAAGGAAAGTAAAAACACCGTTTTTTTTGGTTTCTGAGAGAGCAGCTGATCTTTACGACAAACAATGTCAAGGCAATAAAAAGCGTCTTATTTGCTGAAACATTCGTGCCTTTGTTGGGAATTCAAGAAACTTATCGTCATTGGGATTACTGCCACAAAAAGTTAACATTCAGCAGAGCGTTTTTTTCGCCCGTTTAGCAAACTGACGAAGATTTTTGCATCACCCTACCCCTTGTTTTCATTTTACCGCTGTTTGAAAACTTGTTTTTGCGCTTGAAAAGTCAAAAAATAGCAGACGCTACCAACGTCGCCATCAGTTAGGTAACATACTAGAACGGTAATCGCTCAAAAACGAAGCGTCACGCTCTGTTGCTGGTGCGGTGAATAGTTGCTGCTGTCAACCTTACCTTGATGCCGTTTGGGTTGTGCTGTCCACGCCATAAACCGAAAGCAACAGCCAGTGGCAAACATACCAGTAAGAATTTAGCAGGAACAGCAATTGTACAACCAGTGGGATCGCCATCAGGTATTCAATAATCTTCACTTATCTAATTTAAAAAATTTATTTTATAAAAGAAAAGGCTTTTTCCTTTACGTGGTAGTAATTGAACAACAACGGTTGTACTTTAAAAACGGTCGCAAGTACTATGCCTTCTCAGCGTAAAAGGGCCAAAATTGAGTACGTATTTTAGGAAAAATAGAATAATTATATGCAGAGAAATTTAGTCAAGATGCATTTGATAGACCTTAACCCACTGTACAATAGAATTCAACATAAAAATTTACTTCCCTACCAGTTACTTCCCTTCATATTTTACACAACTAGACGAACGTTAAAAATGCATTTTAACGTTAAAAAATACAATTTTTTTTTTCCTACAACATTTCCTCACATAACCAGTAACCTGTTTAAAATAGATAATGGTCGCCACTCTGTCACTACAACCTAAATCACTGATTTAACTTTTTCTAAAAACCTCAGTGAAAGGAAAGCATTCAATAAAGTTGTTAGATTCCGCAGTCACGTTGTTTTTTTCCAGGAATTCTCTCTTTTGAAATTTCTATGTCAAGACTAAAATTTATTGAGGACCTACTATGTTAAAGTTATAGGGTGGGCACATACCGAAATAAGTTACTGATCGATACAAACGGCACGTAGCGGAAATATTAAAGTTGTGTGATGCCAAAAATTAATTATGTTATAACTGTAAGCTTACCTTTAGCAACACTCAGGGATTACACGGGAATTTTCTAAGTATGGTTAAATAAGCATCTGCCTAACTACAGTGTTTTTAATTTGTTCTAACGGCTCAAGTGAAAATGATGTAATTGCAAAAAATTAACTTTGAAAATGGAATTTTTTAAAACTTCCGATAATTGATATTGTCAGCCAAATGAAAAAGTGATTTGCTATGGAAGCAGTGAAAGGTGACAGTGGAAAAAGGCAAACTTTTTAAGCTGACAGATCATTATCTGCCGCGTTTTGTGTATATATCTGCGTCAACGTGTATGTATATCTTCGCTTAAATATGTTACCGGCCTTGTCGTTTTGTCACTATTTAGAAGCATTGTGGTCGAAGGACACCGTTGTACATTATTGTACTTTCTTCCTTTTCTTTCTTTCTCTGTGGTTTTTACAAAAGTCATACAGTACACGATGTTGACTAACAAACAGCAACAACGATAAAGTTGAGAGCATATTTAGTGACCTTGAATAAGACAGTTCAGTTGCTTAAAGTTGTCATTCAAATAAATGAGCAGTAACTTTGCATCCAACGCCAAATCTGAAATTTAGTTTAAATCATCAACTTGCTGTTCACTTCTTCATTCTTTAAGCACAATGCGGACCTTCAGAAATCACATTACTTGCTTGTACATGACAGTTCTGCGATAAACTGATGAGCATTCACAAAATATCACTTCTTTATAATGAACAATTCCTAGTGTTTATGAAGATTAACGCCATTGTTCATATATTAACTTCAAAGCGCTTCTTCTTTCTGATTTGTTGATAACTGTCAGAACCAACTGTAAAAATACTACTGCACTTCGTTCAAGCTTTAGGGACGATACGTAAATGAATTTTGATTTTCAAAAGACACCTCTTCGCATATACGACTTTTTTTGCGGCAGGTTACAAATTAGACTTAATTCAAAACAATTCAAAACAACGGTAGTTCCAGGGAAAACCGGATTACTTCAGCAGAAACATTTGTTTGTGCTTTGTTAGATAGGCAATTAAGACTACCGATAGCGATTCTTAAAAAGAAGCACAGAAAGAACAAAAAACTAAAGCAGATAGATTAAGCAAAATAGAAACAATAGAATTACTATAGAATGTGTTTTTTACAAACTTTTTGTCACTGCAAACACGGAACATTAAGACAATTACCTCTTTTGCAAAAAAGTCTCTTTTGCTAAAACAAAAAGTAGCTTTTGCAAACCGGCTAATTTAAAGCAACTTAATGAATGTAACCCAGCAGATATCACGCGACAAGTATGCCTTGAATCTTAAGGAATTCAGCTTAGAGCTAATGTTAATGTTAACCTATTTCTTTCTTTGAAAGAACAGGTAAACATTGTGTCAATCTGTTTAGATCTTCTAAATGAGTTACTAAATATTGCCCTTATTATTATAACAAACATTTTTCTTTTTTCGCCTTGGTACTATTTAAGAAACGAAAAAATGACATGTAAGTTTTCGCTTTGGTACTTTTTAAGAAACGAAAAAATGTCATGTAAGTTTGAAAAAAGATTTCCTATATGTTAGTTACTTTTCTTATTTTTCTTTTTCTTTCCATATTTGAAAAGAGTATTTAAACAAACACCAGTCTTAAATATGCTTTTTTGACTTCATTTTTTCTTTGGTGATTCAGTTGTTTAATATTAGTTCCTTCGTTTTAATAATTCATTCTTCTCTGTAATAGTATAATATATTTCTGTGAACTGACAGTGAAAACTCTGCGAATAACCTACTACAGTGCTTTTATTCAAACGAGCAAGACTTCAAAGATGATTCTGCAGCATAAAATTACCAAAAAAAGTAGTAATTAATTGTAGAGGAATAGGAAGTTTGTATCAGAAAGTTAAACAAAATGTTTGACTCAGCATAATTTTCTGCAAGAAAATGATTGAGTAATTGCTGAGTCGTGTATCTGTTTCTCCACCTTTGCTACCTCTATACAACCTTTTCAACAATAGGCTGTAGAGCAAATAAAGTCCACACTATCCGACCAGTCACATCCTTTCTGGCCTTACTTGGTTTTCTATCTTCTACAAATAAAGCTTAGAAAAAATCTTTATAATTCAATTTTGAAAAATGTTTGAACTGCTTCTTTTAATTGAAAAATGGGTAGCATGAAGAAGAAAACATATGTACGAACGTAACGTTTAAAACTGTGACCACGGACTAATTATTCTTGGTCGTTCTAAGAGTCAGATTTAGTTTTAAATTATCTCTTTTTCACAGGGCAATTTCTATCAACTTAAAACTTTATTGGAATGTTATAGAGTTTCATAAAAAGCTTTGATAAAGAAAAACTTGGTTTTTAGCTTTAAAAGAACGATTCTACCAGGGCCTTTATTTCAATCCTTGTTGTTGCACTGCTTATAAACAAAAAAATGAGTAGACAAATATACTCTGTCTGAAAATGACATATCTTGTCTTACTTCAACTTAAGATATTTTAGCTTTCATTGAAATTTCCCAATAACTTTTCTTCTGGTTGGGACCTCCGAACTCAAGCACTGATTTAGAAGTTAAAACTAATGAAGTAAGGCTAATCAAGCGTCATCTAAAAATCCTCGCTCACTAACTTTCAAAAATTTTGCTTATATGGAAGAATTATCCAGGAATTCCGCACAATCATCTAAAAGGGCTCCAGACGAAGACGGATGATGGCAAGCCACGAGAAAAACAAAATTTGACAACTTAGACATTTTCTTAGTCAACTGTAGTTTTAACTATTACCCTAAGCTTCGATTAATCGCTGCTTTGTGCTTCTGGCAACAGCATTTACTTACACAAAATTCAAAAGTAACTTTGGGTAGGAGTATTTC